TGGCGACCATCTCCTCATGCTCCTCCTCGTGGTGGTAGCCCATCGGCTCGGCCCGACGGCCGACCCAGGCAGATAGGCTGCGCCAAGGCAACCGTGCACAGCGTGACGAGGAACGGCGTGAACCACGACCCACGGCGCGGGGCCGCGGTCGACGGGCACGGCAGGGGCCGAGGGGCCGCATGGGGTGCACCAAGGCGAGCGGAGCTCGGCACCCGCCACCGCGGGGGCCTCCTCGTCCTCCTCGCCCTCCTCGCCCATCGTTCGGGTGGGCGAGGAAGCAGGCGGCCGAGATCGATCCTGGGGCAGCTGAAGGTCGGCTGTCGGGGGGGGGGGGCCTTAGGAGCATTGTCGCCCCCCTGCCGCCGGGGCGCCGGGACGAGCGGCCCAGGCAGAGGCGGCGGCATGGGCGACGGCCTGGCGGCGGCTCTCGCGGACGGGGCCCGGAGAAGCCAATGGATCGCGCATCCAGCGCAGCGCGTGCGGTACGACCAGCAGCGGCGGGCGACAGCGCAGTCAACCCGGGTAAGAAGGACTGACGAGAAGGGTGCGAGTGTCTTGGAGGGCCATGTCGACGGGTTTCGAACGAGGGTGGCCAGCGAAAGTCGCCAAGGATGGGCCGAAAGGGCAAGGATGCAAGGGTAGCCTTGGAGAGTTGTGCATCCGTACTCTGCGGGTTGACTGTACAGGATGGGCGGCGGCTTGGGGGAGTCTCCCCTAGGAGAGCCCGCAAGAGCAAGAGCCAGGTGGTCGCGCCGCGTGTCGCGAGCGCGCAGTGCACGTCGAGAGCAGCTGTGGAGGGCGTTTGGCCGTACATAGTGGGGTGGTGAGGGCGGGCGAGGGAGGGAAGGAGAAGGAGGAGGAGGAGGAGGAGGAGGACCTCGTCCTGGTCGTCGTCGTCGGCCACGGCCCGTGCCCGTGGCCTGCGTGGGCCAGGCGCGGCGGGGGGGGGGGCCAGGGCCGCAGCTGTGGCGGGCCAGCCGGTGGGACCCGTCGGCTCAGACGGCAGCTGCCCCGGCGGAGGGGCCGGCGCTGAGGGCCTTCAGATCTCCTCCTCCTCCTCCTCCTCCTCCTCCTCCTCCAAGCTTGTGGGTGTGCGCAGGGCGAGCGTCGAAGGTCAGCTCGACGCGCGTGCAGAAGCGCGTCCCAGTTGGCTCTGTCATGGTCCTGCTGGGCTGCCGGGGGCGCCAGGGGTCGACCCAGGCGCGCGTCTCCGCGCGCGTCGCCTGGGACTTGGCAGGCTGCGTGCGCCGGCGTGGGTCGACGCGACGATGGTGGCGCAGAGCAGCAGGAGCAAGGCCGAAGGGCGGCACGCGCACGGTGCAGAAGTCGCGCCCTGCCGCCCCGCCGACGTCGGCGGCGAGGCAGCCCCTGCGGCAGGCGCGAGGGGCGCCGTCGGCGCCTCCAGCGCGGAGGGCATTCGATGCACGCGCGCTGCTGGGCGAGCTGCAGCGTTTGACCCGCCGCGCGTGGGCCCCGCGACGGCGGAGCCGAGGGTGCACAGCACGTCGGCATGGGGCCCGCTGCCATGGATGGCGCGCGGCTTGGAGGAAGCGGTGAAGGGTGCGGTAGGTGCGCGTCGGGTCGACTGGCGGCGATCCCGCCGCTGGCGTTCCAGGTCGAATGCCACCGGCGTCCCAGAATCGGTCGGTGCTGAAAGGTCTGACGGCCCCGAAACGGCCGGCCGTTCGGGGTCGAACGATCCCCGCGGTGTCAGGAGCCGACGCCGGGGTCGACACGGCGTTCAGGTACCCGCCCAAGAGGGTATCCAGCTTCACCAGAAGGATCTACATGAATAGAGAGAGAGAGAGAGAGAAAGAACGAGAAAAGCAACAGACGAAATAGGGAAAGCGAGACGAACTAGAGAAAGCGATAGAGAGAGAACAAACAAAGGAAGCGATACCGATAAAGAGACAGAGAAAGAGACACTTTGAGAGACAGCGAGAACGAGATAGACCGAGAACGAGAGAGATAGAGATGCGATAAGCAGGAAGTTTTCACGCACGCATGCGCGCACGAGTAAAGGCACACGAAAACAAACACACCCGCATATACAAACGCAAGCAAGTGAGCGTCGTATGTGACAGATGAATATATGGGGCCCTCGTCATGAGAATGAGGGCCCCTTTCACAGCGTGCAGTGTTTGGGGCATTCGCTTGTCTTTACAGTGGCTGCGCGCTGTTTGCTTCAAGTCCACGCGTCATGTGCGCTGGCTATCGGGCTGGATGCGCTCCTGAGTTTTTCTGCTACCTGGCCCCATGCTCGCCACGTGGTCATAGCATCCAGAAATGCTTCAGGCCACCTTGAGTGTGCCGACCTGGCCTTTCCGCGGCCTTGGCATGGCTGGTAGCCACAAGCCGGTGATGATCATCTTTTCAATCAACATCACTTGTAATGATGACGATGCCATAAGCAGTCAGATAGTGTTGTCCGTGTATTGGTAGTGATTTCGCAGTGTGGTTGTGTCAACACAGCTGGAAAGAAGCTCGCGGGGTTAACAGAGCTTGTTGACGTGCGTACCGCTTGTATCTGAGCTCACACATTCTCAGTGGGTTTATTGTTTTCTCTGGACACCCCCCCGCGAAGGAACAGGGACAGGAGCATGCACCACCACCACCACCACCATCATCATCATCATCATCATCAGCATCATCATCATCAGCAGCATCATCATGAGCATCAGCATCAGCACCATCATCATCATCATCAGCAGCATCATCATCACCATCGCCATCACCATCAGCATCACCCCACCACCACCACCATCACTGTCAGCATCAACAGTATCATCATTACCATTGTCAGTATGTTTTTTTTATGATTGTCATTATCATTATCGTTATCATTATCGCCATATTCATCGCCACCAACTTCATCCTCATCCCCATCCGCATCTCCCTCCTCCTCATTACCATAATTACCACCACCATCATCACCATACTCAGCATCATCATCACCACCACCATCATCATCAGCAGCAGAAGCATTGTCGTCGTCGTCGTCATCGTTCGAACTCGCACACTCACACGGCTCACACACACACACACATTCATGCACACTTTCATCTTGAGGAACACCCGAGCGGGAACCTCGTCCGTGAGTGAATCGCGAGGCAGTCTCGAGCAGAAGCCCTTTCCGTGACCAGCGAGGAAGTCTCGAGCCGTTGATCCTCCTTGTAGGTCCCCCATCTACTGTTTTTACCACGTGCGGTTCATCCGATATCTGTAATTGGTGCCAATGTGGTGTTCCTCAGGCCTGAATCCAGATGTCTCGAGAGGGAGCCTCGTCTGTGAGTGAACCACGCGGACGTCTCGAGCGGGAGCTCCTCCCATGGGGTCAGGACCCATCGGTCTGACATTGCCCCTGGGTGCGTGGCGACATAACAGGCGTGGATACACGAGCCTCAGCGGGAGCCAGCTGGAGTCTCAGCGGCCCGCGGGGTTGTCCCAACGGCCTCCTTTGCGGGTTTTGTCACAATGGCCTCGCGATCCCGCCATCGGCGAACGCGCTTCTGCCGGTCGAGTTGGCGACGGCGCCAAGGAAAAGTGATTTGCGTCCCCCAGCCAGAGAGGGAGGGGAAGGTGCACGAGGAGAAGAGGCAGGATGATGAGGTGGAGGAGGGGGAGGACGAACAGGAGGAGAGGGAGGAGGAGGAGGAGGAGCAGGAGCAGGAGGAGGAGGAGGAGGAGGAGGAGGAGAAGGAGGACGAGGAGGAGGAGGAGACGAGGAGGAGGAGACGAGGAGGAGGAGGAGGAGGAGGAGGAGGAGGAGGAGGAGGGCAGGGGGGCGGGAGGAGGGCCTCGGCCAGGACGAGGGGACAAGGCGAGGGGGGGGCAGGAAGGGGGAGCCCCCGGCATCGCGAGGCTGGCGGCGAGGGCTGCGTCGAGACGGGTTCGGAGGATTCCCACGCGGGGCCCAACGATCGGAGCAGTGCTGTTTCACGGACTAGGGGGCCACATGTGAACCCTACCCCTACCCCTCACGATTTCTGAGGGGGAGGGTGGGGTTCACTTCGTTCGAACCTTACCCCTACCCCCCCCGAGCGAAGTGAACCCCACCCTCCCCCTCAGAAGTCGTGGGGGGTCGGGGTAGGGTTCACATGTGGCCCCCCTGCAGGTTTTCAGGGGTCGAGTCGGGCAGGGTCTGCACCCTGCTCCCAGCTGCGGGGGCCGTTCGGGGCGCTGTCCCGGCGGGTGCCTCGGGAGGCCTTGGCGCTCGCCGTGAGCCTGTCCTGGCATGTTGCTGTATCCGCGTGTGGTAGCTTGCCTGCATGTCAGTGCCCCCACGGATCCGTTGCCGGTGATCGGCGAAGCGTCTCGCGATGGCAGCGAAGCGGTCAGGACACCGCTTCAGCAAAGCAGGCGATGTCAGAGTGGGCAGTCGTTCGGCGGCGCCACCAGGTGGGAGGGCAGAGGGAACGGGCCTTTTCAGAAGACTCGGGTGGCTGTGGATAGCTCTTTTCCCAGTGTTCTCCGAGGCCACAGGCGGCTTTTTTTAGAAGGCGCGAGGGCGCCTGAAAAGCCCCGTCGCCTTCTGAGATGACCTACTTCCTCTCGCTTCCCTCTGGGCGCGCCGCCATCTGATTGCTCCTGATGGAGGCGCTTTGGGGCGTCCCGCCATTTTTCTCTCTGGGCTGGGTATATTTCCCCCCGGGGTATATTACACACTGGAGCCCTTTGATCACCCACGTCATTGCATCGGATGGCCCCCCGTCTGCGTGATGATCGCCTTTCCCGTGTTCATCGTTCCCCCACCAGTGCTGTTTGCGTCATATCGTCGCCCCGTGTGAGCAAGGCAGACGCAGTTCAGCGGAACCATCGTAGTTCTTGAATTCTTGAGGATTGGGGGGAGAATTTCGCGTGAGACAGCAGTGTTTCGATTGCCTTGGGAGGAGGGAAGATAGACGGTCAACTCCTTGGCCAAATAGGAGGCATGTATGCGTCGGCGCACTTCGACCGTGCAAGAAAGTACTGAGCGTGATGTGCAGCGGCCGAGTGGCATTCTTGCTTTCTTATCACTCGAGTTTGCCGTCTTAGATTGCCCCCCAGGCTGCCCTGACTCGACTGTGAAACTGACCCCGAGAGACCACGAGGCTTCAAGAGAGCGCGAAGACGGGCCCAAGAGGTTCGAAGTGGACCCCAAAATGATCCCATGACCGCCCAAATCAGCGAAACATTGAAGGAGACCTTTTGCGTTTTTTTTTTTTGCAGTTTCTGATGTATTGCATTTTCGATTGCATATGGCTGCGAGAGGGCTAGCTTCGAGTGAGGGCTCCGGCGTAACAGGTGGGGCGTTGCATAGGCCGTATAAGATCCCATAACAGATTGGGAGTGTTCCCGAAGAGCACGCAACGGGGATGAGAAAGGGTGAACAATGATCTTCTACGCCACGGTGTCAATAGTCTACGACTTGCCGATGTCTTCGAAGGACAAACTATGGAGACACTACTCCTTCACCTCCTCCGATTCCTCCTCCATTCTCACCTTCTTCTTACCTTATCTGAACATGCATTCGACTGCAGGCTCCTTCACATCCATGGACATCGTCTGGCCCCCAGGAAAACCAACAGGGCCCAAGACAGGACCCCAAGACGCCACAAGAGGGCCCCATATTCGAGAACTCCAATTTGAATTTGGCGCTCTCCGCCCAAGATGACTGACCCCGGAGATCGTCAGCAGGCCCCCAAACCCGAAGCCCCAGGAGGCCCCTTCCTCATTGCTGGTCCTCACGTGCCGAAACATATCGTGTGGTGGCGAAGCGTAAGAAACATCGCAATCGCAATGGGCAATATCCACTCTGTGATGTAACGACGTCGATTCGCAATGCCCGCTCGGTTCAACAACGCGGATATAGAATGTTGCTTCGATTATCGAGCGTTTCAGTAATAGTTTCCTGGGGCCTGTTAAGGGTTGTTTTGGAGCTTCTTGGGGATCTCTTGGAGCCCTTTTCGGGACTCTTGCGCGCCTCTTGAGGCACTCTTAGGATCCTCGGGATGATGTTTCCATATCTGCACGCATTGGTTTCAGAGTATGGCCACAGATTTTCGTATTCGTGACGCTTCCCAACATTGCCGAATCCCATTAAAACATCGATGGTAATGCAACCCGGCAACAAATGCGCATGGCAATTTTAATTTTAATAGTTTTTGTACGCAATGTTAAAAATAATTCGCCTTCTTTGCATCGGTCCTGAAATCAGGCGTTAGTATCATTTGGATCAGAGTCAGTTGAAAAAACGATACCAATGCAATACAGCGTTTGTTTCCGGACCTGACCCAGCAAAAACCGATACCGCTCTGGGCTGAAGGGGGGGGGGCCAACGGAAAATATAATTCATTTCAATAGTTTCAGAGATTTGCTTCAAAATTACAGAGCCAGCATTTTTTTAATAAAAAACATCTCAATGAATTATAATCAAAACATGCATGGTGGTGGCTGTGCGGGTGGGAACAGATACGTCAATGATACTGGATTCCGGCTGAACCGAATAAACAAAACATTGTTTATAAGAATAAGGAAGCCGGAAATTGTCGGAACCGATATATCCTTCTGAAAACAGTATGTCCCCCGATCTTATCGTTGCCCGCCGTGTCTACCTGTGGGCAAGATTGCCAAAATTGGCAATTAAAAAAAACAAAAGTTGACTGTGATATTCCAATTACAAACAATCAGTGCGTTGAGTTAAGGCAGCAAAAAAACTGAAACAAATCAGATAGTAAATAAAATAACAAATCGCCATACTAGAGAATCGGCTGATCCGGTGATTATTTGAGCAATGGTTTAAAACACAAGTTTCGGAACATATTTCATTCATATGGAACTGGTACGCCTTAATGGATGCATGTTCCGTTTATCAACCAAATATAATTAAAACCGAAAACCTCATGAAACCGGTGGTCTCCCATTCAAGCAAAGAAATACGTTTAATTTACATTGTTTTTTTAAGGCTGATACGACTGGGCCTCGTTATTGAAACACTTTGGCCAAATTTGCTAGAGCCATTGATATGATTACACTGAAACACTTGCTTGATACTGAAACGGTTGCGGTTGCTTTTCTGGTTTTCGAAATGGCGATTTCAATGATCCCAGAAAACGATGCTTTTCTAAACGGCCGCAAATGCCTTTTTTTTTCCCCTGGAATATCTGACACA